ATGAGGTCATCCCGCTCCGTTTTGGCGCGAAACGCAGCTGAAGGCACATTCCCGCGTCTCTAGCCATCCTCACTGCCGCCTCCCTCAGGCTCTCTCTCGCCTCCCGTAGCTCATGTCCTTCGACCACCCGCATGCTCCGTCTTCCTCTCTCCCGTCGAAAAGTCACTTCTGACACCAATGTAACGTTCACAGATAGAGTCGGAAACAGGCTTCTAGTTATTAGGCTTTAATAACTTTTATTTCTTAGGATCACAGATTCAGGAACAGGTACAGCTTGGGGTTTACACCTTACACACTCCCTCTCTCCACCCACCCCACACACCTATATATACCAGTGTCTACGTCACAACCTGCCCGCCCTCCCCCGTCCGCTCCCCCAACCACAGGCCCGCACCTAGACCAGCATCCTGTGCAGCTCTGTGATTGGCCAAGAGACGGGGGATGCCTGAGTGACACCCTCAGCCTCCTATCAGGGTCGCTACAGTATGTTGATAAGTGCGCTTCAGAGGTACTCAAAGGATTTGGTTCCCTTTGGACAGAGCCAGACCAGCTGTTCCTCCCAGTAAACAATATTTTTGTTAAGCTAAGCAAAGTTACTATCCTTTATGTCAAGTGATGGATCGTACATGTACTGTATGTATTAGAAAGATTAAATTATTTCTGTATCCCCATTTAACCAAATATGATATTGGAGAAAACTTAAAATTAACGGCACAGACCCCTCCGTTTCAACAATTTACTCGAATTTTCCCATGCATTACTTTAACCAGATGTTCTTTTTTCCTACTGACAGGTGCAATGGCTGCTGCGCTCATGAGGGTGTCACCTGCAGGAACACAACTTATGAATATGTGAATAAAACTGTGAGTGATAAAGCCTTAGATAATAAATGTCCCTTTTACCTGTTTGGTTTACCTTTCTCCAAGGGTTTAAGTATTCCAACATTATAACATATTTTGTGTGTGTTGTGCATTTCAGGTCCTTAGTGTTATTCCAGAGAAGTTTTCAGCTGAGCCTGTGCTAATAAATGTAGCTAATCATACAGAGTGCAGGTGCATGGAGCCCGGTGTGTGTGTGTGTGTGTGTGTGTGTGTGTGTGTGTGTGTGTGTGTGTGTGTGTGTGTGTGTGTGTGTGTGTGTGTGTGTGTGTGTGTGTGTGTGTGTGTGATCTTCCCGTCAGTTGTATTTTTTGTTTCTAATTAATTGTTTTTTTAAATTTTAAACTAAGACGGTGAATATGGCAAACATAATTTCTGCTTCTGCATGTCGTCTTTGTTAGCATGTTAGCATGCTGATATTAGCAGTAAGCTCAAACATATCATTATGCAAAAAACTTGTCATCATGGCCAAGAACATTTATTTCACACTATTTAAAAATCAACATGCTAAGATTAGGATAGAAAAGCGATTGCTTGTTTATAACTTTAATGTGCCATTATTACCTCCTGCACAGAACTTCCACTCAGTGCCTGGATGCCCGACTGTGAGATAGACGTGGAGCAATGTGACTGTCTTCCTAGACCTGAACCAACTCTGCAGCCAGAACCCATCCAACGCTGTCAGCTCAACTCCTCCATCTGTGCCAGCAGGCGTCGACATTTTGACCAAGCCTCCTGCAGGTATTCCTGGGGAAGATATGTACAAAAGTGTTTTTTTGCAAATACGTAGGTATCTCGAGTGCAACCAACCTGCAAACTATAAAACGATAAGAGATGATTAAAAATTAAAAATTAAAATCTGAGTTCCCAGGAGACATTCAAATGGACTGATAAACAAAGTGTTCTTAAACTCATGTTGAGTCCAGGTTCATCTGGTGTTTCATTGTTTGTGAATTCATCCATGCTTTATTCTAAATAAACCCTCTTTTATTCACAGATGCAAATGGCCCAAGTAGAAGTCCAGTTGGGAATTTAAATGACGACAACCTGCTCACGAAGGAAGTTCGGAGGCAGAGAAAAAAGGCTCATAATTTATTTACTGTCCTATTTATGCTGATCACTAATTAAGAAGATATTAACTGATACGACCATGTTAACTGATTTTTTAACATGCTTACCTTATGTTTCAATCAATGTCTAAATTGTATGATTTGTACATTTGTTCATCATGCACTGAATATGTAGTTTATATTAAAGATTATTTTTATAATTTTAATCTGTGATGGATTTGTGAATTACTTCTAATGTATGAATTACTACTAACAGCTAACTTCAGAGAGGATATCCCACTGATTGTTGATCTTCATATATTCATTTCCAGTTGTTCAAAATATCTAGTGTTTCATTTATTATAAATACACCGGCATTCGGACGCTTCCTAAAGGTATAGGGGGATGGCACCAAAGGGATTTATTCGCTAAGAAACCTGTGACTTAGACAATGCAATCAATAATAAAGGCGGAAAAGCAAGCCATGGCATGCTTTAAAACAGCATCCACATGTGCTACTGTATGCTGATCAACACAGACTTAAGGCTGTAACTCCTGAACAATGCATATGTGTTTTTCCTTGATTTAGATCACTTTGCATACATCTGTATTATATTTGATAATAAATAAAGTTTCCCTTTTTGATCAATGTCAAAAAAGCCATAATGAAATCTTTTATTCACTTGTGTGAAACTATGAAAGATATTTTTGCATACCATTTTTTATATAATATTTACATGCAGGTTAGCGGTTTTAAGATCTTGAGATCAGGAGTTTTTATTTATTTATGCAAGATGGAGCCAGAGGAGTTGATAATGATTGAAGACCTGCTGCAGCTTTTTTAAAGGCCGAGTAAACTGTCAATAAAGCTTCTCATAAAACAGGTGCGTCATCTGTAAAATGGTTTACTGTTGTTGCTTGGAGAATGTATTGATTTACATTCTGGTATTCCTGTAACCACCGACAGTGACGCTGATCTGGGGAAGGTTGGCAAAGTAATTGGAATTGCATTGGAACAAAGCACAATGCCTTTTGTCGTACAAGCTAATCTGCTTCACTGTAATGATTATGATGTTAAACATCAAAGTGTACCATATATGTCATCCCTATGAGGGACCCATCATAAAAATGGTTAGATAACATAATGTTGTAATGTTATTATGTGTCAGTACTCCAGGGGGACATTGTAAAGGTGATAGTCATTGTGAAAGCTCTTTTCTTTGGGAGGGAGATTGTTCTAACAGCACCTTTATGCTCTAATAGCACCTTTATACAGTATCTACCCTCCAGGTGGAAACAGCCCCAATTGGTCTTCTTGCCAGACACATAAAAAGTGTGAAGAATAAGCAGAAATAACACTGATTTATCCTCATGGGCTAGACATTAAACTTTTTCTCAATTGTAATTTTCTCGTACATTTGCAAAGACAATATTTTATATCTAAACTGTTAAATGGTCACATCAATTTGTATTACCTCATAGTGTTCTTCCTCCTTTTGCTGTTGCATTGCTGCATATTTTGGCGTTTTACTGCCACCTGGAGATCAGTGGAAGAGTGTAAAACCATTGGGAGGAATGTGTATCCCTTCTTCCAGGTGCTACTAGAGGCCAGAAGGTACACATGTACATATTAATGTGTACATGTTCAAAACATTGATAAAACAGTAATGAAATAACAGATTACACCCAGTAGACAAACAGATATGAATGCATTACAAATAATAAAGAAAGTAACTCAAAAGGGGTCCAAAACATCTCCCCTCCTGGTCTCAGAGTAGAAGAGACTTGCATTTATTTCGGGAAATGTGATTTATGGAAGGTCATTTTATTTGATAATTACCGGTAGATACACAAACTAACGTTACCAAGCCACACACAGGAATAACTTTCCTTACAAATGACAAGGATGGCACACTAGGTCCAAAAGTATGTGGACATACTGTATACAGTTAGTTCAGGCACTAACAGTTTCTGTACTGTCAGTCCAATAGACAGTCTGTAATATTGGAGCCTTGTCACATAACATTAAGCCAATTGCAATACATGTGTGGTTGATTCTGGTGTTTTGAGGGCCATGCTTCTTTTAACTCACGGTCATTTGAAATAAAAATCAGATGCTTTTTATCCTTTGAAGATTTACAAATGTGTAATTAATTGCCCTTTTTACAGGCTTTGCTCTATTTCCTTTTGTTGGTCAAAAATACTGCCGCTAGGATTATCCCCGGGACAACAATTCTAAACTTGAATTCTAGCCTCCATGCAAATGTTATTGACCATCAAGGAATTAAGTGACCAGACCCTAGTTTTATCAAAGATTTGCTAAGCCCTTGTGTACAGTATGTGCATCCTTTATATCAGCTGAAAGTGGCCTTCTGAGCTTCCACAGACTCCCCCTGGTGACTAAAGCTGCCTTCACACGGTAAGAAATGTTCTCTTTGCTCCCCCTGAGGCTAGGTGCAATTATTTGCACATTCCAGTCCAGTTCCCCAATCTCTGAAACAATTTACCTGTTGAGATTAATTTCTCTAAATGTATTATTTATTTTAAATCTCTTTTTATTATTATCTCAAGCTGAAGTTTAAAAAAAGGCTGTATTTGATTCCTCTGTCACTAAGTAAGGCACTTTTCACACACTTTCACTCAGATATCGATTGTCATCAAGTGTCAAAAAAACACATCTCACACATTTTGAGGCCAGAAACATGTTTGAAAGGAGATCAAGATGCATGCAAGTCATAAAATGTAAATGTGACCCAAAACACCGTAAAATAGGACTGAACTTAACTCAAGGAAACCTATTGCTTCAAGGTAAGATAACCAAATATAACTATAAGTCTTAAAATGTGATTATTTTTATTTGTACTTGTAAAGTTTACCTCTAGCATTTTGTTTTTTCTGAGTTTAATGGCTGAAAATAAAATCATATGCTTTATCATTTTACACACAAAGACAAAACTAGACAAAACTAGAAAAGAAAGCTTTTCACATCTTCACTACAACCAACAGAAACAAACCTATTAGGGCAAATTGTAAAAAAGATTACTCTGGGACACAGAATGACAATACCACATCCATGTTGTGCTTTTCAAAAGTGTGTAACTCTTTTTCCTTAATGCAACCATTTCATTTTTACAATTATAGCTTTTTCTTTACAACCTTTTTCTTCTACCACATAATAATAGTAGAAGACTACTAGACGACTATTAAATCATTCGGAAATAAAAACGAGACAATAATAATGTGAATCTGTTCATTTTGTGTTCTCTACATTTTCAATTCCTTGGAATTATAAATAAATCACATGGCACAAATACATTAATGAGACTTGCTCTGTTGTGGACTGTGATGAATAGAAATGCTGTAAAGAGCCTCTCGTCACCAATTATGAATTGTGCATACCCATGAGGCGTCATTGACATCAACTGTATAAACACGATGACATTCAGAGCTCTGACGTCCTTCGGTAGCTCTGACACTTTGTCTTTGGTTGCTGAAGCTTGCACATGAGTGGCAACAACCCACAGATCAATACACCGCTAAGTGAAGAGAAACAACACTTACACACACTAACCTTTACAGAGACTGTTCGATGGCTCAAGGAGATTGAAAGATTCTTATGAGAAAAAGCCTTTGAAATTATTTCAATAAAAGAGTGCAAGTGAGAGACAACTTCAGACCATTTAAAAAGAGCGCATTCCATCTTTCTATAGGCTCTACTTCTTCACTGAGTTCAAAATGAGGACGAGTATTACCGAGAGTATTTCCTACAGATATTGTGAGTGTGTCCCTCTCAATGGCTTCGATGTTTGCCCTTCATAGTGAAGAATGAAGTGTGCATTCTGAAGATACATTAAGTCATTCCTGTAGGATTTTTTTAAAGGGATTTTTAAATCATGTGCTTCTAATGGTCCTGATTTGAGTTTCTCTTATTCCCTGAATTTAAAATGTCATAACAAATCCTTATTTACATTTGAGACCCTGTACAGAATGAGCCTGAATATGAGGATGGCATGTTAAGTAGATAGCTGAGACCATGCAGGACAGAAATTTGGCAAGGCACTTACACCACAATTAAACAAACGCCATCCAGACGGAATTATACACCCACTCACAACAAACCTGAGCATGATCCTCTCCTTCAATGAAACACCAAATTAGGACATTGCGCTGTGACATGGTGACTGTGAATCCAGCCTGTGACAGGGCAGAATAATCAAGTCCAGTGAACGCAGAAACTATGTGTTGTGTACACACTCAATAGGATTAAGACTCTAAACATAACCAAAGTACAAAGACCCACATGAGGAACCACTTTCACTATATGCGTGGAAATAAAATGCACACTAATTGGACTTCCCTTTTTATTGATATTTAAGATTTGTAAAGAGAAATGTACGGGGCAATGTGTTTAAGCTAGCCTGTCAAATAAATGTCCTGAGAGCTGCTTGAAAACTGCATACACAACAACAAGCAAAATAGACACAGTTAGACGTAATGCAACACTAAATTACAAATTCAATCTCTAACACATTGATTTATATTCACTGTTGTTTTTTTTACACTGAGTACACCAGAGTCTCGGCTCTATAAACATCCTGTAACCAGTGGACAAATAACATTTAAAATACATCTCTGAAGAAAGAGTTAAAAGTTATCATCACAGCATCAAACATTTAGAAAGATAGTGCACATACGGTGCAGGCAATCTATTTTACATCAATATTCAGAAGAATCTACACCAATGTAAAATGATACCCCATATTAGATAGAGAATACTGACTCTCTCACTTCTATTATTTGACAAAGAGCAAAAGTGCCAATAACTGTGAATTTACTTTATTAAAAGTACCTTGGTACTACAGGGGCCTTATTCTGCCTTTTCTAAAGACTTATACTAGTTTCTACTTCATCATTGTGTGTCATTTCCCTTCCCTAAACATTTTCCATGTAGCTTCATATTTTCATGCCTCAACTTCTGCTCCTCTGTCAAGATTGGTAAACTTGTATGAAACCTTTTAAGTGACACTCCTCAACTGTTACTCATGTTGTGCAGTGAAGCCATCATCAAAATAAAATGTTGTCTTTAGGTTTAAGGTTTATCCCTGCTCGGATTTGGATATTTAACATGTAATTGCATGAGATACTTTGGAGGTGTTGGGATTCAAAGATCTCAAAGGATCCCCGGAGAGAGTTTCTGCATCATAGGACCCTGTCTCCTAGCTACTAG